AAAGTTATAATTAAATTCAACTCATCATGTTCGAATTCATTAATTACAGATCAAGTGTATAACTAGGAATGAACATTCCAACATCATTGTTTCTTTTTTATTTTTCAAAAAAATACTACATTCCAATTAAAGATGGTATAGTAAGACACCAAAGCACTTATATTTCAAGCTACTATATACCATAATGAAAATATTCAAATTATGTTTTTGAGGAAAATGACATGAATAAATGAAATGAATCTCTTAAAATACCATATGTCTTATGTATAATGTATTTTAAAACATAATATTTGTGCTTTTTTAATATCATTTTTTCAGTTTTTGTTTCATGTCTCTAAAAGGTGTATGTTATATAATTATATTAACTCAGATTTTCTTTTAAGGAAATCAACTTAATTAGCATTAATCAAATCAATCAAAGGCCAAAGCATTAGTAATACAACTAGGGGGGAGTTCCCATCTAACTAAGACAATCATGCATACAACTATTTGCTTTAATAATCATGGTAGCTATGTTAATTTTGAATACTCTAAACAACAAACTAAAGATAGTTTTAATTTCTCGAGTTTTTCAAATCTGTGTTTCAGCATAAAAAAATACTCTGTAAAAAACAGAAATATTAAACGAATTGTAGACTTACCAAGTTGACTTTTATAACACCATCGAACAACAGCGGAATTTAATGTGGTTTCTAGAAAGATGACATCAACAATGTTAGAAATATTAAAAGTCCAACTATATTACTCCTGTCCATTTTTCTCTTCCATATATGCAATTTGAAATTTTTGGAAATTGTTAGTTTAGGGGGCAAACGTGTTATTTATATACTTTATTCATTTTTTAAAAATAAATATGAATAACACACTTTTATCTAATGAATGATAAATCAATGTGGATAGAAACTCTTAGACTAATAAAAAAATTAATAAACAAATATCTCCTCCTACCTTGAAGAGTTTAGTTTTTAGTTAATGTGCCAAATTCTATTAAGATTTTGGCAATTCAAAATGATAAATCAAGTTGAACATTTTTAGAGATCACAACAATTAACGCACAAATTATAACGAATTGGCGCAAAATCAATGATGGTTTCAATAGATTCGATCAATTTCATCAAACAAATTTTGAAATAAAGTAAATTGATAATCTGCTGAATTTAAAAGTTGATATTCTACATATTATTGTTAGCATAAAATAAATGAAATGTCCAACTATACATAATTAAAGTTTCTTTTAAATGTTAAGCTTTGTTAACAAACAATTATCGAGCCTATTTGGAAATACTAAATTGATTGAATCTTTTGAAGGTGATGAAATTTCACTTGAAGTCACCGAATTGGCTGAATAAGTTTATTTTTGAAGAATTAATATTTAAAATATATTCTATTAACAAAATAAATAAAAATCTAAAACAATAACTAAAACAAATCTCTTTAACAATTACAATCAATCGAATAATATAAGTAACTCAACTTTACTAATATTGACTGTTAAACAACTTAACGTCTGAAATAAAAAGTTAGTATAAGAAAATTGATCATAATCCCAAAATATGCATGGATACCAAATAGTTTTTAATCTTATTTTTGCGTACATTTTTAAAAAAAAACGACAAATTATATTAATTTAACCAATGATATTTTGGAGTTACAACCAACAAAAACTCAAGATTCACCAACTAAAGAAATATAAAAAGGCTCGAATGATAAATAGATCGAGCAACAAACCGCATGCGGCCGAATCCAAACTTGAAACGTCTTCCAAACCCTAGTCACATGACCTCTCCATGATAGTGGTTCATCAGGAGGAGGACTGAATGTCCAAGCACCTCCTACGATCGATCATCTAATACAAGCTAGTTCGGACTTCGCTGTCGCCACCAACACATGAACCACCAAACCAAGCATCAGCAAATGGGTTACTGCCACCCCCATTGTCGTAGTCTCAGGTGGAAGTTCCATAAGGAGCATCATCACCAAAAAGCTTGATGTGCTATTTGATGCACATGAAATACCCTTCCCAAGATCAATGAACAACATAGCCACGACTCATAAAGCACACATGACGGTCAAATCCAAACTTGAAGCATCTTTCAAACTCTAGTGTGGGGGTGAATTGTGTGTGTGAAACTGTGGCAGTTTTTCGCCAAGTTCTAGTGTGGAGTATAGGGTGAAACGAAATAAATAAGTGCACAAGGATTTAACGAGGAAAACTCTCTTGGCTCAAAAGGGATTAAAACACCTCGACCTCCCTCGGAGGAATTTTAACAACTTCACTAAAAAAACTTTGTGGTTACAAGAGAAATTCTCCTAGTCTACATTTAGCCACCTCAACTCTATCCTCTCTAGGAAGAGTTATGCTTCTCTACTTTGCGGGTAGAGAGCCTCTCAGCTTTACAAAAAAGCTCTTACAACACACTAACCAACCCAAGGATGCTACAGTTAGTCAATCCTCAAAACCCCATTACAATATGAAGAAGAGAAAGTAGAAACTATATCTAGAACTCTGTGTGAGTAGTTTCATGTGCCTTGGACTTTGGTAGTTCTTTGATGAATATGTCTCTTAATGATAGTCTTGGTCAAGCACACCCTCTTTCGCTTCTTGATCTCGGTATATATAAGCTCTTGGGAGACCGTTGTGACTTCCTTGCATGGATGATTGAATTTCCAAATATGGGGCTTGCTTTGTTATATTTTGAAAAACATTCCTTCTACATAGATCATTGTTGTTTCGAACTCGTGCATAAGCTAATCAATTATGATTCACAAGAAAAGATACTATCGTATAGAGGGAAGTGATTTATATACTTAACATGTGTAAGTATGCAACAGACCATTCACATATTGGTCAAATATATATTATTCACTTGACAATTATAAATATGCCACTGTCAACTTCCAAATATAATGTTATGGTTAAATATATTTTCAAACCGTATAGCAAGGGAATAAGTTATTCTCTTAACAAATCTAAATATGTTACGGTCAACTTGCTAGGCAAGGATTCTTTCCAAAAAATATTAAGCTATACAGGTCAACTTATTTAAGTGGGTGTCTAATCATGAATGAAAAGATATTTAAATTGTGTCACATACATTTAGAATATGCATGATATTATATCAATCTTGGCAAATAGACAAGGTATTATTATGCAAGCGCATATCTACTAACATATCCATTATGCACGTCAATCATTCACATAGAGCAGAATTAAATATAGTTCTGACTTCCGTTCCTGATAGAACTGAGACCAGTTCTATCTATTGTTCTACCTGCATGGTTAGTCATCAATAAAACATTGACGCCTCTTTAGACCTTAGGATAGTTCTATCCTTTGTTCCTGCAAGGTTAGTCATCAACAAAACCATATACTCAACACGGTCCCACTCCCACATGGTTGCAGTTCAGGAGGGGGACGGTGAAAAAAAACCGACGATGAAATTAAGTGGGCCCATCTTATGAATTATATAAACTAAAAATAAAAATTTAACTTTTAATTGTTGGGGGTTTTGAGACTCAAAATTTTTCTTTATTAAACTCAAGTGCTAAAATTAGTATCTAATGACTAAAATATTTCCTTACATCTGATGAAAAAATTTTAGCATTCAAAGGTGAAATTAATATCGAAATTCATAAGAATTTTTTCACCGCCAAAAATAAGTGGGCCCATCTTATGATTATATAAACTAAAAATTAAAAATTTAACTTTTAATTCTTGTGTATTTTCAGGCTCAAAGTTTTTCTTAATTAAATTCAAGTGCTAAAACTAATATCTAATGACTAAAATATTCCTTTACATCTTTCAAGTTATTTCCCAAATTTATTTTTCAGTTACATCGAATGTTCGGCTTTTTAAATCATATCTATTTGCAAATAAAAATTGGAAAAACACTGATGCATAATAATACAAGTAAAATTTTAAATAAAAAAATCGTCGAGTAAATATATTGACGTAGCGAGATTCCATTAAATATTGAATTGACTAAGTAAATACGTATAAACTAATTAAAAACTTTAGAGTCCGTTTGGTAATTGTTGGGATTGTTGGGATTATTTTATGGTGATCAATCTCGATTAAATATCTTTGTATTTGCATGTATTTGTGTAGTATTAATTAAATGTGTAATATGGGCCACAAATGTGTATCAACCCATTAGCTTCTTTGCAATCCATAAGTTAGCCAACTTCTCCTATAAAAGGAGACTAATTTATGGGAACCCTAAGAATTTTAAGGCTGAGAGCATAGAGGTGAGATAGAGAGATAGGTTTTCCGCTGCTCTCCTTCTCGAGGAAGAGCATCGGCCATGTTCTTCATTGCTTATGATTGTTAGATTATTAGAGAACATGAATTATCGGTAATAGCCAAATTGGCTGTATTGGGTGATTCTATTGAAATTTATGAAACTCTGGTTGTATTGACTGATTCTGGTGATTTGTGAAAAAAATAATTTAAAATACATTTTATTAATAAAATAAAGAAAAAATTATATGAAAAAAAGCTAAAATAGCTCTTTATAGTAACTTCAGCCAATACAGCCAAAAAAGTAACTACAACCTTACTTTTTCTTATTATTACACAATTCAACCCGTAAAACCAAAAGTTACGTGTTTGATAAAAACTTGGTTTATAAGCTTGAAAAACTAAAAATCGTTACTAGCAAACGGGTACTTAATTTATTAAGAAAAGTGAGTTGTGGTTAACGTTATTAAACAAGTATGGAAATGAAAAATGTCATTAAATTTCTTTGTTGTCATTAACATTATCCAAATAATTAAATAAACAAACATTCCAGCTCAGCTGTTTGTGAGGTTATCAGCTAGACACATAAGAATTTGAAATTAAATGAAGTGAGTTTCGGCCCAGACCCCAGCCTCCTCCCAGGCTCGAGTAAAAAAAATATCGTTGTACAAATTGAATGCAGTCGTTGGGGGTATGGTCCACGCCCAACATCTCTCCCAAGTCTGACCTTTTGGCATCTTGGATTCTTGTGCTTTAAAAGCCCAGAAGAGAGAAAAAGCATTAAATTGCCTCAGAAACCTGCAAATTCCAGCTCCCCGACTTCGTCTAAAAAACCATGATGTTTAATGAAGAGGTAGAAACACATTTTCGGAATTTCAAGATTTCAAGAAAATGTTCCAGCTAGCTTCCTTCTAATCAACCATTATCAATGGCGACATCATCTTCCTCGAAACCCCCTCTCTCCCCTCTTTTCACTCCTGTAAGGATTTTTATGTATAAATTTTCCAGGCGATCTGAAAGACGTTATTTTTAATCGTTTACTTTTTTTTATCACTTTGGGTGGGTGCAGATTCAAGAAGGGAATGAAGAAGATGAGTGCTCGCTGCATGGGAGAAGCAGTCCGACAGAGTATAAGCACCGGCCAACGCCGCTGCATCTCTGTTCAGAGAAAGGTCCGCCGAAGAAACGACCGGAAAGTGATGAGAGAACCAGAGAAGATGACGACGGCCGCGGTGTCTTGTGCAACAAGTGCCGGCCGAGCAATCGGGAGAGAATCTCGGTGGTGCCGCTAGACAACAGCAGCAATGGGATCCCCCGAAATTCAACGGCGAGTCCCAACGGTATTTTCAAGACTGTTTTCTCGTCTCTGGTGAAGAGGAGCCCGAGGTTGTCGGACGACGGGTCGTCTTCATCGTCGGCGGCGTCGGATCACTGGAAGAAAGCGGTGGCGGAGCTGTCACACAAGCTGATCCAAGCGACCAAAAAGAAAGACGACGCCGTCTTGGAAGCTTCTAGATTGAAATACTCCATGGCGGAGCTTGAGAAGAAGCTCAACAAACTCGAAATCTATTGCCACGATTTAAAATCCGGGCTAGAAGTTTGCAGCAAAAACTCTCAGCCTCACTTGAACTTCCAATGCATCAAAGCAGGGGATCAAGAAAAGGTAATCCAGCGTTTCTTGGTTGCCGTATCCGAAGCCCGATCGTCGATTCGGATCTTGACCCGATCCCTGACTCTCCACCTCCGACAAATGGCCCCCGGAAAACCCCACGAACGAATAGCTCAACTCCTCCAGCCTTACGACGTCAAATTCTCTCTCGCCAAGAACTCTCGGGTCGGGCTGCTTTACCTTGAAGCCTTACTGAGCCGGGCATTCTTCGAGGATTTTGAAACGGTCGGATTCCAGAAGAGCTCATTCCACCAAATCTTGAATCCGCTGGACCGATGCGCCGCCAACTTCGCGGCGGTGGCCCGGTTGCAAGGGCTGAAATGGGAGGAGGTGCTGAGCAAAGGAACCCGGTTCTTCTCCGAGGATTTCAGCCGGTTCTGCGACCGGAAAATGAGCGAGGTCGTGGCCATGCTGACCTGGAACCGGGCCTGGCCGGAGCCGCTGCTACAAGCCTTCTTCGCGGCGTCGAAGGCGGTCTGGCTGGTCCACCTACTCGCTAACTCAGTCCACCCCAGTCTACCCATTTTCAAAGTGGGCGACAAGAACCGGTTCGATCCGGTTTATATGGAGGACAAGGGCGGAGACCGGGCTCGGAAGCTGGTCCCGACCACGGTCCGGATTATGGTCACCCCGGGCTTCTATATTTACGATAACGTCGTGAAGTGCAAGGTTCTGTGTAGGTACAACAACAGCAGCGGCGCGTGCAACGCCGATGCAAACGACAATTTGTTGACACCGTCACCCACGTAGGAACGAAACAACTCCGTAAATCCTTAATCTAGTAATTAATGTTAATCTTTTCTGGAGTTTAGTAATTTGTTGTAATGTTGGGCTTTGGATTAGACGAATACTAATCAGAAGAAGACATCGCTACACTTGGTCAACCTTTTTGTTCTTTATCAGACTATGTTTTATTTATTTATTAATTATTTATTTATTTCCTAAGCTCGTTTCTAAATGTTTGGTACAAGACAAAAGCTCCCAATGGAATGTCGCGATTCTGCAGTTGTTCATTTCTTGATCCGGTGGCGGCACATCGATATCGATTTGCAGTGATATGATATGACGATTTTGCCTAAAGATGGTCAAACAGTCAAAGGGCCGGAAGTCCGGGTCGGACTTGGGATACCCGAGTCATGGTGCATAGAAAAGCCCATATCTGAATACGAGGAACGTGATGTATGTAACCTGTTTTTAGGGGGGAAAGGCCACAAACTTTCTAATGTTGTGACGCAAGTGCATCCAAAACCGTGTAAAGTTAAAAAAGCATCAAAAGCATACGGAATATATCCCTAAACAGGGTAAAGAAACGTTAAGGAGCCGTTTACTTGTTTAATAAACGGTGGTTATTTAATCGTGTCTTACTAAGCATTGCTTAGTAAAGAAGTGTTTATTAAGCCTGAGTTTTAATAATCAAAAAATTGTTTACTTCATCAGCCTTAAAACATATCTTATATTTAAAATGACATAAATAATTTTAAAACCTACTCCTTTATTTCATTTCTATTGCCTTATACGTAACATACAAAACAATCGCTCCCATCTCCATCTGAAGCCAGTCGCATCTCCATCGAAGAAGCTGCTCCCATCTCCATCGCGGAAGCCATTCCCATCTCCATCGAATCGAAGAAGCCGCTCCCATCTCCATCGAAGAAGCAAGTTGCACGTGTTGACCATCTCTAGCCCTCCAAGTATTACTTTCTTCTTCCATTTTTCAGTCTGATTGAACAAGGACCCTCTATCCCCTGGTCGAAATTACACACACACATGCATTTATATATATATATAGAATAAGGATCAAATGAGAAGAGTGCTTATCGTAAGAAGTGAGAATGCATCTGGTGCGTTCATTTTAAGATTTGTGCATCAGATTAGCAAAAAAGTGCACGGGAAAGTCCAAAAAATATTAAAAAAGTGATGCTAGACGCGGTGGCATTTCCGTAATTAATCGGAACTTTTCTGTCATCGCAAAAAAGTGCATCAGATTAGCAAAAAAGTGCATCAGAAATAGGTAAATGTGTAACTTCTCACTTCTCACGTTAAGATGTCTTCTCATTAGAACTCGACCCTATATATATATATATATATATATATATATATATATATATATATATATATATATATATATATATATATATATATATATATATATATATATATATATATATATATATATATATATATATAATTAGTTTTAAAACGTTTTTCTGTTGAAAACTAGCTATTTTGTCTTTGAATTCATTACAATCTGATTTCTGTTTTTTACACACACACACACACACATATATATATATATAATTAGTTAAAAAAGGTTTTATAGTGACTCATATGGTCAATGCCCTTTGACTTTTCAATTCATTACAATCTGATTTTCTGTTTTTTTATAGAATGGAAGAAACTCAAACATCAAACAACCATGTATTAGGGCAAAGTTCTTTAAATTCAAAACGTGTGTTAAGGAGAAAGTCATTAAAGTGGTGGTTGAATGCTCAAACATGGTTTATGACGATCACATTTTGGATGTTTGTTTCATTATCCGCAAGGCGAAGGCGAACACGGGGTATTCGATATATAATAGACAATCATTCCAAAAGGGAGGGATATTTTAAAAGATTAGTAAACGGACCTGAATCAAACTGCATTTCCCAATTAAGAATGAGTCGTGCTGCCTTTTTCAAGTTGTGTGATATGTTGGTTACAAAAGGTGGGTTGAGACCAACCCGACATTTGATAGTAGAAGAACAAGTAGCTATGTTTCTACTTGTATTATCCCATCATCACAAAAATAGAACCTTAATAACTGACTTTCAAAGATCCAGGAGAACAATAAGCAAATGTTTTTCTACTGTAATACATGCGGTGTTACAACTTCATTCTACTTTGTATGCTAAACCTCAACCAATTACGATGGAATGTGAAGATGATCGATGGAGAACATTTCAGGTGCATATCTTAATTAATATATGCAATATTCTATTTCTAACTACCCCATGATATTTCTTTGTAATACTAGTTACTGTAATCTTGTAGAATTGTGTGGGTGCACTGGACGGAACCTATATTGATGTTCATGCATCACCAAATGATCATAATCGTTTCCGTTCTCGAAAAGGAAGGATTGCTACAAATGTCCTTGATGTGTGCAATCCACAAATGCAGTTCATATATGTTTTTCCTGGATGGGAGGGATCAGCTGCAGATGGTAGAGTTTTGTGAGATGCCCTCACAAGAAGGTTCCGAGTTCCACAAGGTATACACATTTTTTATTCTAAAAATAAATTTATGAAGTAAATTAATATAAAAAATTAAATGTATTGACAGGGTGTTACTATTTGGTTGATGGAGGTTATGCTAATTGTGAAGGATTTCTTGCCCCGTATAGAGGGCAAAGGTACCATTTGTCAGAATGGCAAAACAATTATCATCCGCAAAATGCGCATCATTTTCATTTTCATTTACCCCAGTGCCACAAAGGCTCCCACCTGCGGTGGGGTAAGGGGGGTCGGATGTACGCAGTCTTACCCCTGTACTAAAGCACAGAGATCCGCAAAATGCGCATGAGTATTTTAATATGAAGCACTCACAAGCTAGGAATATTATTGAACGTGCATTTGGATTACTTAAGAATCGATGGGCCATCTTACGTAGTGCCTCATGGTATTCTCTACGTATGACTTGTCAGATTATAATCGCATGTGCTCTACTACATAATTTTATTCGACGTGAACATGATATTGATCCAATGGAGGATGATGAAATAGAAGAAGAGGAAGGTGTAGATGAAGAAGAGGAAGATGAACCTTTTGGGGGGGGCTAACTTAAGGCCTACCGAAGCCTGGACTACATTTCGAGAAGATTTAGCAACAGACATGTACAACGCTTGGATTTGATGTATTATGTAAGGTGACTTTGGATTTATTCTATCATGTAAGGTGACTTTGGATTTAATGTATTATGTAAGGTGACTTTGGATTTAATGTATTATGTAAGGTGACTTTGGATTTAATGTATTATGTAAGGTGACTTTGGATTTAATGTATTATGTAAGGTGACTTTGGATTTAATGTATTATGTAAGGTGACTTTGCAAATTTAATCATGTTTTGTGTGTTCTGAACACAGTTAACTACACTGTAAAGGCCAGATTTGTAGCCTGTAAATGCACCTAGTTAATGTGTCTTTTTAAGGCTCCAAATGCAGCAAATTTTTAAGGTCAAGGCCTTTTTTAGGCTCTAAAATGCAGGAATTTAAAGGGCATATTCAGCCTATAAATCCACAACGAGTTTTTGCTATAATTGCAAGAAGGTATAGGTCAGTTTTTGAGCTGCTCAGGGCTGCAAGGTCAAGGCCTTTTTAAGGCCCGAAATGCAGCAACTTTTTAAGGTCAAGGCCTTTTTAAGGATCCAAAATGCAGGAAGTTAAAGGCCATAAAAAGGATCCATATGCAGCAACTTAAAACAAAAACTAAATACATGTAGATTCAATATTACATAAAGCAACGGAATAGAAGCAACAAACGGTTTACATAGAATACATTTGGATGTTCAACTAGACAAAACATCAATCGTCATTTGATTGTATCATGATGAAATTAGACCACAAAAATCATCCAGGAACTACATGGCCAGTGTAAAACCAGTGAGAAGTAGTGCCAAAAAAGTAAATCACGAATCGTCTTCTAAATACCATTTGCACCAGTCCATCTTTTCTGCATCTGGCAATCCATAAAAGTACAACAACTCGCTCTGATTTTTTCCCATTTTCTTCATGAGCTTGTATTTCATATTTGGAGTCATTTCTTCAAGTTCACTTAAAGCAGTTGGTAGGCGTGATGTCTTATCAGCTATATCTGTCTCCACCCTTGCCATCTCCATTCCCGCCTTTTCAAGTCGAATAGAAGCTGCCTCCACATAAGCTGAGAAACTATCAATACTTGGCCCGGCCTTTCCCTTCTTCTTGCCACAAACTTTTTCGCCTTAAAGCAAAACCTTAGGTTTAGTCTGAAAGTATATATATCCAAATTAATAGAAAAGATTTACCAATTAGAAAGTATCCAAATATTAAAGCAAAATAAATAGAAGATTGCATTACCTCAGCAAGAGCGTCCCACACTTCATTAGGGGCAGTGACCATCTTTATTAAAGGATCCCATCCAAATCCACTTAATGAAGCAGTGCGCCCATTCAATAAGTCATAATACTCTTGCCATACTTGTTTCATATTTCTTATACGGGACTCAATGTGTGGCTTAGCATCCAAGTGAGAATGAGGTAACTTAGCTGCCATCATTTTTGCAAGCGCGCTTAAATATCCAGCTTCAAAGCCTCCTTTTTCCCCATTATGTGTGCCACAGTTATGCAATTCGGTCATAAAAGCAACAAGAGTTGCGTCTTCTTGTGCACTCCATTTTCTTCTAGTTGATTTTTCAACACGTGGCATCTGTGAGAATAAAAAAGGAGTGATTTTTCAACACGTTGATTTCAGGGCAGTAAGAATGCAAAATGCTTACAGTTGTATATAAAATGAAAGGAACAACAATGCAGAGGAAATCTAGGCTAACTGATGCAATGTACATCGCCAAGTTCTTAGTCCTAATAATACCATTACCTTTGTCATGTTTTCTCAAAAAAGCCCCTAAAGAGTCATGACCAGAGTAACAAAATATAACAAAATATACATAGAGAAACAGAGAAAACAATGAATAAATGGGAAATATTATGATTACAATATAACAAAGGAAACATGAATAACATACAAAGCAAAGAAAATGATGTTAAATAAGTAAGGAAACAATCTCTACTGTACTGAGCTTTATCGGACTGAAAAGTAGGTAACAAAGAAAACAATGAATAAATAGGCAATGTTATGATTAGAAAATAACAAAAGGAAACATGGATAA